GTTCTTCCTCCCACCTATCCCCTCCTCCCACCTCAAGCCGCACCTCCATCTCCTACCGACCAACCTCATCCCGCCCCCTTGACCTGTCCGTCCTCCCTGGACTGACCTATCCCCTTCCTAACTCCCTACCTACACTCACCTTTCCTGGCCCCATCCCCGCCTCTTCGACCTGTTTGTTTCCTCTCCACCTATCCTCTCCTCTATCCCTCTTCTATCCGCCTCCCACTCTCTCCCTATTTATTTCAAAACCCCCTTCCCCTCCCCCTTTTCTGATGAAGGGTCTAGGCCCGAAACGTCAGCCTCTCTGCTCCTATGATGCTGCTTGGCCTGCTGTGTTCATCCAGCCCTGCACCTTGTTGTCTCGGATTCTCCAGCATCTGCAGTTCCTACTATCTCTGATTCAAAACTAAATATCAGCCTTCTTACAGCAGATATTAACTCATACAAGAAACTAACTTAAATATGTGCAATTCCCAAGTTTCCCATAAACAAATATATATTGGTATTGAATCCAAAATCTTTATACTTGCCCAAAAATTGAGGTCCAACATGAAAGGAACAAATGTACTCCAGGTCTAGTATGCTATTTTGTTAATGGTCTACAACTGTTACTGGAAAATAGTTCAAAAGAATTAGGCTTAATTCCTTATGTATTTAGTGCTACGTATACATCATGGGAGGCAATCCAGATTTCATCAACACTATCTCCCAATGGTAACACAATTAAAAGATTGTGAGAGTTGTTAGAAGTTCATTAAATTCCTGTTGAGTTATACAAGTCCCAGCAACCTCATTAACCTTATTCTGAAATAATACGTCCTTTTCTAAAGGCAGCAATCGAGTTGGCACAAGTCTGATAAAAACACTCAAAGGAACTTCCATGTTTGTACTGAATGCTAAGTAACTGGGGTGGGGAGAGAAGAGAATTCAACAGTTGATCTATTGAAGAATACCACAGATGACAGACATTCTTTCTCATTATTTTAACCTCCACAGTTTGTCAATTATGACAACAATAGGAAGATATCATTACTTGCATCACAGGTTTTTTCAAACTAGGTTCCGTGGAGCCCAATGGATCAGCAAGTTATCAGATTTGTTCTTAATGGGGCAGAGCATGCCATTTTTTTTAACCACATATCACAAGTCATTTTATATTTTGCTTTTTTTCCCCTTTTCTTTTATATGTTTTTAACTAGAAGATCCACATGCAGAAAAAAATGTTACTTCAATGGGTACCAGTCTTTTCCTTACGGCAACTAATCAGGTTTCTAACAAATTAGGATAGCATTTTATGAGACATGTCAATAATTGCAAAAGGGTGAGCTGGGGCAGACCTTTGTTCACCCAAAACAAGGAATCATTCAAGCGCTGCAATTAAGAGTTATCAGACTAAGACAACAATGCTCTAAAAAGACTGCATAAACTATTTCACATTGCTGCTTACAGAAAGGTGGTTGCATGCTGGTGCAAAATTTGGATGCAGCACAAGTTCAACTTACCCAGATTCTTCCAAACAGCAAAGGAATAACAATAAAATGGATTATGCAGTTCATTTAGCCACACACAGGCATTAGAATTTACTGAAATTCCTACAAGCAAAGTCAAAACTGTCACAGTAGACCCTGCATTTGAGATAGATGTATGTAAAATTGCTGCACCTAAACTCCTAAGAAAGATAAATTTAAAATTATAAACTTGAAATTCGAGTATAATTGTATGGTTGTCATGCACAAAAAATGAGTCTGCTAGAATAATAGCTACCACGTGAGCAAGCTGAAATGTATTAAAAATCTAAAAAGAAGTTTGGAAGCACAATGTTGATTGAAATTAAACTTGATTTATTAGTTGAGGTTTTTCCATTTTGCTTGAGAATATTCATTAATGTTGGTTTAAACATTCTGATAGGCTGTTGCTGTTTCTACAAGTAACTTTTAATAGCTGTTCTTCATTTGTTGATTTTTGGAGAGAAACCTAAACAGAAAATGGCATTAAAATCTCTCAAACTGCGATAAGATTAATCAGAAATAGTCTACAATAAAAAATAAGAATGATTATTTGATTGCATGGAATACACCAAACACCTCTGTCATCCACCTTTCAAAGCCTCCCGCAAAAAAAGATGCAGTTCTTTTAGCATAATATACTAAAATAAAACATGCTAGTAAGTAGACAGTTATTAATAGACATGCCCATTAATTAACAGCTGAATGTTAAAAATATTTTGCAAAATGCTGCAGACTTCATAGGTTTCCATCAACTGTAAAAATGAATGCTATTGCATCCTCTCACTTCAAACTTAGAATTCACATCAACATTTATAAACTTCTGTTTAACTTCTGCAGTGTGTACAAGCAATAAAAACGTCACCTTCATTGTTGGGAAAGTAAAACAGACATCTCATTTTGGCATACTACAGAAGTACCACTTAAATATTCTCCCTTCTGCTTGTACTGAATTTCCTATATTTAGTCTTTGCGTGGAACCTGTGGCTAAGTAGAATAAAGGACCTCCCTTTAGTTTTTGCAACATTCTACAACTGGCAAATGTGTTTGAACTGATTAAAACTTTCATATGCCCTGAACGATTAACTATGAATGCAGTGAGAGGAAAAAATAGTGGAAAATTAGATGAACCAGTTCCTTATGAAATAAGTAAAATGTCCAATCTTGATGTAGTTCATTCTTATATTAAACTCAGGGCCAAATGCTATATTTATTGTTTGTGCTGTGACAGGCTTTAAACCTAGTCTAAATTGGACTAAGATGCAGTGACAGAATACTAATTAATGTTGATGATTTGACACCTTTTACTCTGTCATGAGTTAGCACATGACCAATTTCAGGTCAAAGTTTAATGATGTAAGTAACTGAGACAGATGCCAAAGCCCTGGACAACTAAGCTGGTGTAAAACTCAACTAACTGATGCAGTCAATTTGATAAATCCTTTACAGGTTTTACTCAACTCTGTCGTTGCATTAATTATAGAACTGGAAATCAAAATAAGTTTATACTAAGCAGCAATTTGGAGAAGGTATTTCTGACATATTCAACACTTTGGAGAGGCTCATTGCTGATCTTGGTGCAGTTTTGGAAATTTTGTGCTTTCAGACAACAGAAGCACTTTATGATATTACAGTCACTGGGTAAGATTTATAACAGAGACAATAGAATTTACATATCAGAAACAGGCAATTCTATGCCTTTGTTTATGCTTCATTCAAGCTTTTCCCCCAACACATTTTATGACACCAGCCATTTGAGCCTCAGGAAACTATGGATTGTACATTGGTGATTGTTGATGTTGATATGTCACTTCTGATTGAAGATTGGTGAGTCTGTAAAGGTCAATTTGAGATTGGCTGTCCCTTCAGCAACTGGCACAGATGAGTTACTTGACCTGAAGTTGACTGATCTTTCTTCTTCATGTTGGGTTGTTTTTTTCTTGTCATTTTCTTTAATCCTTTGCTTTTTCCCATGCCTTTCCTGAATGCTTGCTGGCTGGCACTTCAGTCAGTGGTGAGGACTTCTCATTTACTGACTCTGATCCCAGTTAATCTGAAGTCTCATATAAACATAAAAAATAGGAACGGAAGTCTTAAGTCTTAATGTGGCCCCCTAAACCTGCTCTGCCATTCATGCCTGATCCGTTTGTGTTTTGCATTCCATGTTCCTACCTACTCTGGATAATCTTTGATTTCCTTACTGAACAAGGAATTTATTTACTTCCATCTTAAAAAATTCAATGATACCACTTTGACCACCTTCTGATGTGGAGAGTTCCAAAGTCTCACAACACTCAGAAAAAATTCTCATCTCTGTCTTAAAAGAGCAAGCCCTAATTTTTAAACAGTGTGCTCTAATTCTAGACTCACCCATAAGAGTGAAGACAGTTCAGGATCATATATACTTTAATCAAATTACCCCTCAGTCTTCTAAATTCCAGTGGAACAAGACCCGTCTGTCCAACCTTTCTTCATAAGGCATCCCACTCATTCCAGGTATCAATTAGGTATGCCTGCTCTGAACCACCCCCAATGCACTTGCATTGTCCGTTAAATAAAGAAACCAGAATTGTACACAGTATTCAGGATGTGGTCTATAATTGAATCACATCATCCTTACTTTTATGTTCAACTCTTTTTGTAATAAAGGATAGCCTTGTTACTCTTCTTAATGACTTGTTTTATCTTCTTACTACACTTTCAAAGATTTACACAACAGAACACCCAAATCTCTTGCACCTTCGAATCCTGCATTTGTTCACCATTTAATATTCTGCTTTCTATTCTTCCTGTGAAAATGAAGAATTTTATATTTTTTGACAGAATACTCATCTGTCAGATTTTTGCCTACTTATTCAAGCTATCTGTCTACAACCTCGTGCCCTCTTCACAACATACTTTCCTACCAATCTTTGTGTCACTTGCAAATTTAGCTACCATGCCTTTGCTTCTCTCAACCAAGTCATTGATATAAATTGAATAAAGCAGAGGGCCTAGCGTGAACCTTTGTTAATGCGGTACTTCCTACACCAGGAGTGACATGGTAAGCTCACCATACAGCATGACTTTGTGAATAAGGCCATTCTCCAATGGTTCACATGACTCAGCCAAGGCAATCATTACTGACTACAAAGGGTAAGCATCCTGGAGATTCCTGCACAGTGTACTCCCATATTCAGCAATATGCTTTGCCAGGAAATGCAAAATGTCTGAATGATTGGAGGTGGAAGTTGTTCAATTTTGTTTCTTTGCTGGCATTAATTGTCTTTACTCCCTAGTGCAAGGGAGGTTACACAAGCCTGGTATGCAGGAGCTTTATATTTTCAGTTAGCTTGCGACAGGTCCACACTTGACTTCTCAAATTTGAGATGCAGCTTTGGCAATCCTGGTGCTGATTTCAGCATTAATGGACAGGTTGTTGTTTTTTGTCAATCAAATTTATGTGAAGCTGTCAACTTCCAGATGGCCATTCCACATGGCAGTAAATTCCACAATTTTATCACTTTGCGTGAAGGTGAGAAACTTTAAAACAAGAAGCAATCAAACGGTCTGAAGATAAATAATCTGTGTTATCTAAATTAAACTCTTCTGGGAAGAAAAGCAAGATGTTATAGCTTTCGTAATGTTAACTAAACTAAAAATAATTTTTGATATCTAAACTTAAAAAAAATGCTTGCAAGACACTGGACACCAACTAAAATCACAAATGTCCAGACAGAACCTAGAGCCACAAATTTTGAGTATGATATTCCTATATTCTTCACCTTCCCCTAAATGTTTGATAATGGTTGTTACCTTTTTGTGGACATCAAAAAATACAAAATTTTCTTCATCATTGATACTTACAGCCAAAGAAACAGTGAAAATCCAGATATGTAAAGATTCCTTTGTGCCCTAAAAAGCTTCATGTTGAGATGATCATACATATTTGGAAGCATCTTTTCATTCTTTCCAATCACTTGGCTCATTGAGTATTTCCTCACCTCTCTAATGGCATCTACAAGAAGAAGCAGCTTGTTAAATATTTGTGACTAAACATGTAACAAATCAGTAAATTTTACACTTGCTGACTTCAAGGTATACAAATATTTAGCTAGTCATACAAAATCCATTTCTAGAATCAAACAAAAACAAAACAACGTAAAGAAAAACAGTCTGAGCTAGCATTCAGAAAGCAAAAAAGGGCATAAAAGGCTGTAATGCAACCAGTGGGTTTAAAATCTAAAACAAGTGATATGTTTTACTCCTAAATGACTAGTTTCCTGAATTACTTAGTGAATCAAAAAAAACTGTACTGCTTTGTGCCAAGGAGAAATTTTAATTACAAATTAATTGATTTTTCCAATTAATATTTTACAGCAAATATAACAAGTTCCATCCAATGCACTTCACAAATGAATTCCAGTATGTAAAAAGTCCTCCCTTCCTTACTCCAGAGAAAAACCAATTTGATAATACTGAATCAGAACAGACTTGCCAATGAATCAGCAAGCTTTTCTCATACAATGTAAACAGTTGCTTCCTTTGATATTTGACATTCTTGCACCTAACTTGATGAGTGCAAGACAAACACTTTGATCCCTTTAACCTTAAGAACTATATCTAACTCCTTCTTGAAAACATTCAATGTTTTGGCCTCAACTGCTTTCTGTGGCAGAGGATTTCACAGGCTCACCACTCCTCATCTCAGTCCTAAATGGCCTAGCCTGTATCCTTAAACTGTGACCCCTAGTTCTAGGCTGCCCGTTCATCAGGAATATCCTTCCTGCATTTATCCTGTCTAGTCTTTCCATGTTGTGCCTCCCAAGTACATCACTTCACAATTAACTGCATTCAATTGAACCTGTCAGATGTTTGCCATTTCACAGGTTAGCCTTGATCCTCCTGAAGCCTGCTATTACACTCCTCACTATTTATATGTTGTGAAGTTTCATATAATATGCAAACTTTGACTCTACGCTCCCTATACTCATGTGCATGTAATTTATATACAAGAAACTCAATGGCCATTGTACTGATCCCTTGGGGATCACAATGAACTGTTTGGTAATTACCAGCGGCAGCTACAGAAAACAATAACAATTATTTTAACATTTAAGTAATTGGTGTTTGACAGTTGCCTTTTTGAGGCAGCAATGTTGCATCTTTGCCAGTAACTCTTTGGAACAAACACTTTTGAAAAAAATAAAGCAATTAACGATTGCATTTTTGGAAATTTTATATACGCCAGAAAATTCTACAGTCCAATTTTGTACATTATTCAATGGGGATTACATTTTACGTGCCCTACATTTTTTCTTCATTCCAGAGATTCCTGGCAGAGTATCCATTCTTTAGGTGCAAACTGAGGAAGTGAGTTTGCAGGTTATTCAACATAGGGGCATCATAACTAAGCTCATTCTGTCTTCAGTTAACATCCACAATCCAGCTACTTTCTAGCTGGGGTCATTAGAATGACAAATCAGGAGCAGGAGATCCTGACAGAATTTCACACCCATAACCCAGGTGTGCAAAATTCAAATGTAGTGTCCCGACTGGGGCAGAGATAAAAAATAAAATCAGTGTAGCTCAAGAATTAGATCTAGATCTCTTCTGATCTGTCAAACTTAGTATACGCTGTTTTAATCAGTTAATTGCTCATTTATGGCTCCGGTCTTTGCAGAGCTTATTTCTCAAAGTGTGACCAACCAAAACGAATAATATTTTTCCTTTGCTTTGACTTCGGTTTAAAAAGAAGTGATTCAAGTAGTCACTGGATTGGGCAAGGAAAAACAAGAACAACTGTGTGTTGGGGATGGACCTTATCTGCCAAAGCCAAATATGCACAAGATAATTCAACTTATATTTTGCAAAGTCTTTTTTTTAATGGATTTTACCACATTCTATTACAAAACTAATTGGTCTACCTTATAACATTAAAAATATGACTTTGAATATCTGTGTTGAAGTACTTTCCAACTTTTTCACAGGACAATTGGATGGCCAAACTAAGTTTAGCAACATTAGCACACTTTTTCAAATGAACATTCCTGACAGGTGGAGAGGGCAATGCAGAAAGCAAAGTGACCACAAGATAACAGCAGTTATTAAGGACAGTTTCGAATTTTTGTTATCCCATTAAGTCAGCATGAATCTTATGTTGAAACATTATAAAAAACAAACAAAAGAAAAATGTACAATCTTAAATATTGATGTTGGCATAACAACAAAGAATGTGCCAGAACAAGGTGCTACTTCCAGAATGCGTGTGAATGAACTCCGAGAACAAACAATATTTGTTGCTGTCAGTATTTTGGGCCAAAACAGTAACTCCAGTATCAAATTTTTGTATCAAAATGAAGATCATACCAACTGATCCACAATAAATGCAGACTCAAATTGAAACAGGAATAATCTGCAAACTGTTCAGAATTACAGTTAATTGTTTCATTATCATGTTCCTGAAACTTGGAGCATTAATTAAGTGAAGATAAGTATTCTTTAAAATGTTTTATCTTGCACAAATATTAAGACTTTTCAAGCTACTAAACTGGAGAGCCCATACTGTTTCCACCCAACATCCACATATCTACATTTGCCAGAAAGAGCCATCAGATAACAATCAGGAGTAGAAATCTTTAAGATTTTATTTTCCCAAGTTTGGGAGCAATTGAACACAGAAGGCAAGGTAGGAAATTAAGAGATAATTGAGTTTGAAGAAAGGCATTTTGTGGGTAAAATTAAGAGGGTGGCCTTGATACAAACTTGGCATGTCCGAAATGGAAAAATATTACATTTTTAAAAAATTATTCATTCACATGATGTGGCTGTTAAATGCATATTTTAATTTAGCATTTATTATCCATCCCAAGTTGCCCTTGAACCAGCATTTTCCAAGACTGCCCTGTACCACTCCAAAGAAGAAGGCTGTTCATCATCATCTTCTCAAGGTCAGTCGGGGATGGCAATAAATACGGGCCTTGCCAGCAGTGCCCATGTCCCATGAATAAGTAAAAATGCTACTGTGCAGCATTTACTTGTTAATGGCAACTTCCATCACAATACTGATGAATAATAGTAGACTGCAGGGTTGTAATTAGATAGATGGAACATGTCCTGTTTCTTGTGGATACAGCACAATTAAGCAATGTACCAATTTGTCATTATTGTAGCTGTACAAACAGATTTGCTAGAGGATCAGCGAGCATGTTTTCATTACTACAGCCAAAACATTGTCAGGACCCAATAAATAACTTTTGCTGCATTCAGAGCACATGAACTAGTACATTAATATGTAGCACAGATTCTGGAGTAAATATCAGCAATGATAGCTTATTTTGTAGGTAACTAATCCAATGGTATAAACTACGTAAAACAGCAGCAGTTTGAGTCTAATCATTACCAGAATGGTGGAACCATTTGAGACAGAAACCAGTGAAGGAATGGGCTTTGCTGAAGTTCTTTCTTAGAACCTAGCAACAACATCCTGTCACGGGGTTCCCATACAAATCACAGAAGGTAGTGGAGTCAGTGTCCATTCTGCTAAAGGAAGGATTTCTAATTAAAGATGCCACAGCAAGGGTAACCAGGGCAATGGTGTGTTCGAATGGCAGACAAATATATAATGATGTACTACTGCATATTGGAGTCACTGTGAAAAGTCACAAATGAATAATGGCTCTTTGCTGAGGCAGATGGAATCATACAACAAGAAACCCACTCCATGAGTGGAGAGGCAGAAAATGTTGGCATACGTAGAGGGAAATGAAACATAAAATTAATATCAGTTTAACCATCTTATGGCATCAAATAATTGAAAGTTCAAATACAGTTTATCAATCTTAACTAAAATTCCTGATCATGTCATTTGAAAAATTGTATTATGTGAAAACTATCAGATAACCCCATATCTCAGGACCCAGTGCCGATACTTTCCTCTGTATAAGAAAAGTGAGCCATTCAGTCCCTTCAGTCTGTTCTGTCACTCATTAAATAATGAATGATCTGTATCTCTAAAAAAATGAAAACAACTGCGGATTCTGTAAATCAGAAACAAATACAGAAGTTGCTGGAAAGGCTCAGTTCTGAGGAAGGGTCACTGGACCCGAAATGTTAACTCTGATTTCTCCTCACAGATGCTGCCAGACCTGCTGAGCTTTTGCAGCAACTTCTATTTTTGTCTCTGATCTACCTACATGACTTGATTCTGCATACCTTGTATAAAATGCACTGTTTCAGGCAGCCTGCCCACCCTCATGCCTATTGAAGCCTTAAATGATAAATGAATGGTTCAAGCGCTTAGATACTCCTTTAGCCCAATCTACCCACAACATTTCATGGCCCACACTGAGTGTGTAGCCTGGCAGCTTTTACTCAAGCTGATACCAGGCAAGGGAAAGGAATTGGACCTCCTTTGGGAGTCCCCTCTGTCTATTAGAAACAACCCCAATTCCAAGGTGATACTTTATCATTAACCACCACCACCCCCAAGCCCACTGCCTGAACCCTGGTGCTGCTGGCTAAACAGATTGACTGGTAGTCTCTAAGGTGGGGCTTCCTCCCCATATGGGAGCAGAATTCTCAGCCTTAGACAACTACAGCTGCTTTGAAATAAAACAGCGGTGGGGACAGTGAGCTTTTTGGTGGGTGGACTCACAACTGACGTTTTAAATTGGGGTGATGTGGAGAGGGCAAATACAGTGCCCCTAAGACTCATCCATTAGTTTTCCCTTTCTTTACCTTCTTTTACTGCCACGATTGTGGATCAAAGTATTTGCACAAAATCAGCAAAGTTACCTCAGAATTTAAGCATTCAATGTAATCAGTGTATGCAGTACAGGGTAAAGTCCATACTAACAACAGAACCTAAGTTTGAAAACACTAAAAAATTGATGAATAAGTTGAAGTAGTGTAAACATTGCTCAAACTAAATTTAGCAATTTTTATAAATTCCAGGTATAAAGGGAACAACTCAAATGCATTATATCACTCGAGAACAACTTGCAACTATGTCAAAAATGTGCTGATCAGAAATATACAGGTTTTCTGCTTCATCTTTATTAGTTCTGAATTGCAACCAATAATATATTTTGATATAATTAAAATGAAATTTCTTTACTATTGCAGAAAAATTGAGATGACAGGGTTTAGGTCTTTTAAATAGTTGAAAAGGCATCAATAATGTTGAAATTAGAGTGCCTAAAAATTGTAATTACAGAATAGGAGTATAAAATTACCAACAAGCACTGCTCACAAAATGCTGTGTTATTTAAACTTTTCAATAGCTGGGTAGACAGAGAACATCAACAAAAGGAAAAAAGACAAAAAGGTTGAGTATTGCTGAAAATGGACACAGTTGTAAAAGCTTTTTGCCTTGCACTCATTATGACAATTCACAGGAATGTCAATGCAAGGGGAAAACCAACATCTATACTTCATGAGAGGAGAGTACTGATTGTTGCCAAGTGGAATTTTATTGGTCGAGGCATTGCCATAGAGAATTCATGTCAATGCAAAACTTGCAACTTTTTGAAATAATTTTTAAATCAACATGTTAGGACATGTTATGACACACACTTACATGTGGCAGATGGGATGTGTACTGGGACATTCTGGCCCAGAGGCAGTAGGGACACTACCACTCTGCCTTCTGGCTTTACTTTGTGTACTTAATAGCAGGACAAATTAGCAACTGAGATATTCTTAAATGCAACAAAACTACAAATTCTGCAGTAATCAACAGAATCAGTGATGCTGGTCAGGCTCTGACATTTACACAGATTATTTAAGGTCACTAAACAGCATTTTATGCAGCAAACTGGAATGGAAAGCAACTCAGAATAGACAGGAATAGATATGAAAGCAAATAACATTACATAATCCTGTCAACTATGAAGCATATCTCACAGGTGATTGCAGGAGTTGGAGAACGGCAATGTCAAACATCCTGAGAATCGTGATATTGATCTGAAGTAGCCATAGCTGAAAAGGAGATAGCAACTTGTTCAATGTGGATGCGAGCTCAGCTGTCACAGAAACCTTGATATTGAACACTATCAGCAGAACAGAAAATACTGAAACATACTCATCTAAGTCCAGAGGGTATAGGCAGGTCTGATGCTCGAGGTGCAAGACCTACCTGACAACCAAAAACATTAATGATGTCCAAACATTTTTAAAAATATCAGATTTGGAAATATAAAATTATTATAAATTTGAGTGCCAAACTTGAAAAGGTGCAGAAAAGATTTATAAGGATGTTGATGGAATTGGAGGATTTGAGCTATAGGGACAGGCTGAATAGTCTGGGGCTATTTTCCCTGTAATGTCAGAGGTTGAGGGGTGACCATACAGAGGTTTATAATATCATGAGGAGAATGACCAAGGTCTTTTTCCCAAGGCAAGGGAGTAAAAAACTAAAGGACATAAGTTTAAGGTGAGAGTGGAAAGATATAAAAGAGATCTAAAGGACAACTTTTTTCATGCAGAGGGTGGTGCGCGTATGGAATGAGCTGCCAGAAGTGGTGGATGCTGGTACAATTACAACAATTAAAAGGTATCTGGGTGGGTAAATGAATAGGAAGGTTTAAAGTGGATGAGCTTGCACTTCTCTGCACTGAACTCCACCTACCACCATTCTGCTTGCTATCAAGTTAGCTAGTCTGGAGAGTAGCACAGGTGGAAACAGTGTGCTATTGGAAATGTCTGCTTTACATTACTTATTATCCCATAGAATCTGGTGTTGTCAGATCACTCTCTATTCCTTCAATTAAGAAGTTGACACACTAGGACCTAGGTCTCCGTGAGACATATACTGCCAAATAAAGAACATACATTCCTATTATCACTGTGCTCCATTTCCTACCTACTAACCAATTTCTTACCGGTGTGAAAAGGTTGCATTGAAATGTGTGGAACATTAGCTAATAGGTTCTGAAAATCCACAGAAATAACATACATAACTTTTCTACCAATTTTGGGAAAACGAGCAATGTTATCCAACTGGCTTGAGAGGCATTCCAAGACAAATGATAGTCAATATAAATAGTTACTTGGCAGTACAGAATCTGAATATTGCTAGTAACTACATATATTGACACACAGGGATTTGGCTTTTGGAGAAAAGAACGTGCAAAATGAAAACATTTGTACAAACTTCCACATTAGAAGGTGTAGGTGAGAAGCTAGAGAATTTTGGAAAATTAGAACCAATGTATCTATTATTTCAGCAAACACTGCTTTTAAAAATCCTACAAAGATGTCCATTAGGACCTGGGGACTTCCACTGCTTTTAGTTCAAATAATTTTCTCAACACCCTTTCCCTGATTAATGTAATTAAGTTCCTTTCCACCTACTGATTCGGAATTATTTCTGGGATGTTATATGTATCTTCTACAGCGAAAACAGATGCAAAAGACCAAATCTATTAATCGGCATTTCCTTATTTTTTCATCATTAATTCCCCAGACTCAATCTCTAGAGGACCAACAGTCACTTTTCCTAATCTTTCTCTTTTTAAATACTTTCAGAAACTCTTAGTAATCGCTGGCACTGCTACACCAAGCAGAAGGAAAGCGCTGCTGATATTATCATTTCCCGTAATATATTTAATG